GGAAGATGCCTTCCACATCCAGAGAAAGAACCATGGAGTCTGAATGCAGATTGAAGCAGACTCTTTGCTATTTTTTTTCTTCTGTTTTGTTTTGTTTCCTCTTTCTGGTGGTTCCTCCTGTTGGTTCTAATTCTTCCTTACAACATGACTAATGTGAAAATGTGTTTAATAGGAATGGATACGTATAGCCTATATTATCAGATTGTGTGCCTTCTTGGGGAGGGGGAGAAAAATTTAAAACTCAAAAATGTATGGAAGTGAATGTTGAAAACTAAAAATAAATTAATAAAAAAAAAAAAAAAAAGGCAGGTAGGTAGTGCGGTGTACAGAGCTCTGGCCTTGCAGTCAGGAGGACCTGAGTTCAAATCCAGCCTCAGACACTTGACACTTACTAGCTGCGTGACCTTGAGCAAGCCATTTAACCCCAATTACCTCACCAAAAAAAAAAAAAAAAAAAAGTAGGTTTCTTCTAAAGAAAAGAAGTTGGAAGGGATTAAGATGCTCTAAGAACTATGATGTCTCAACTATGACAAAATACTACCCAGGGCTATTGCTTTCTTTATACTTCACCATGATACTTTTTTTTTTTTGCCACATCAACTAAGAAGGGTGGCCGTGTTTTTTTCAGCCTTTTCTTACTAGTATCCTTACCCTTCCTATACACACACATCATTCTTCCTATAGATGGAGCCAGAATAAGACTTTGTTACTAGAATAAGACCTCCTATGAGTTGGGGTGGGGTTAGGTAGAATTCAAAAAGTGCTATTTTGCCCAGAGGAAGCTAGGACCAAGGCCTGGACCACGCTGCAGAGTGACATCGAGGTTGTCTATGATCAGGAAGCAAATCTGGCCTTTCCACCCTGGACATTCGCTCGAGATCAGAGGCGTCAAACACGCTTGGCCACATGTGTCCCCCGACACTCCTGAGTGTGGCCAAACTAGATTAAAATGTAATTGGAAATACTTCACAAAATAACCAAGCACACCATAAAATGTAGCTGTTTATATGTGACATTCGCCTGCAGGGACCCTCACGGGTGGCCTAGGGGCCCGTTTCTACTTGAGCTGACCACCTCTGCACACTGCAGTGATGGGAAGAGAGGGGAGCACTGCAGCCAGTAGCCCCTCGAGGGTTTGGGCTGATATTCTGAAGGGGATTTTGAAACCCAAGGTCCCCGTGGGGAGCGTCCAAGGCAGCTTGCGGTGGCTATAGCGGAGAGAGCTCTGGACCCAGTGCCAGAAAGACCGGAGCTCAAATCTGGCCCCAGACACTTACGGGCTGTGTGATCCTGGCCAGTCACAGCTTCTCTCTGCCTCTGCTTCTTCAACTGTAACAGGGATCATAGCAGCACCGAGCTCCGAGGGGGGTTTGAGGGTAAAATGAGCCCATTTTAAAACGTTCTGTAGAACTGAGTGCTCTTTAGGGGCTAGCTATACTTATCTCAATTTCCTAGATACCCCACCCAGCCAGGTCCCCTGGGGTGTCCTCGAGAGCCCATTCCCGTCCCACTACAGCTCTAGGTTTTTATATAGCCTTACCTTCCGCTTCTCTCTGAGGCAGTCCACACCTTCAATATACAAATGGTGGCCAAGAGAGGGCAAGGCCTTGCCCAGCATTCCACGGTGGGTTATTGGGAGGGCCGATGCTAGAATGCAAGTCTTGTCTCTTTCTACCAGGCTCCTTTCTTGTGTTGGTGACAACCTGGAAAACCCTATGGTGCCATTAACAGGGGCTGTTACAAAAGAAAAGCTTGAGGCTCAGAGAGAGACAGACCTGAGGCCATAGCCAGGCTGGAATTCCGGCTTAGAAGCTGCCTACATGTCCTGCTTTCCTTATCACCCTCACAGCTGCCGTGAAGCCTGCTCCCCCAGGCAGGGGCTGAGCCAGGACGCGTCAGAGAGCAAAGAGAGAGAAGAGAGCGTGGCCGCACAGCTTCACTTCTGCGCCACCCCTTCTAGGGAGGTGGGGAGGATAGGACAAATGAGCCTTCGTACTTGACAAAACAAGGGCCTAAGGTTGTCATGATCGAATATGCTTTGCAATTTTTTCAGTGAATAAAAAAGTAGAATAAGGTTCCCCTCTTAGCCCATCAAACATTGCTCGGTCACTGTCATTTAAAATGGTACTACCTGTAACACACCAGTGACTGTCCTCACCGGGGTCCAGCAGGATGGGAAGATCATTTTATGCTCCGGGAACCTGGGAGGGCAGACTTGGATTCTTCCTGTTCAGGCAACGGAACTGTTTCATTTCCTTGACTGGATCTTGTCTGAAAACACAGTTGTCTAGATGTCAGGGTCGAGCTGATCCTGCGTAACCACAGGTGGCTTTGACACCTCTCATGGTTTCATCAGGTCCTTGTGTACCTTCTGTGTCCCTATGTGCCCACATCCTGCACTCAGCCCACACACATAGGCTTCTGCCCTGTCTGGATCCCACCCCTCTTCATCTCACTGTTAAACATGCAGGACTTGGGGGAGAACCTCATGTAGATGGCCTGAATTCTCTCTAGTCACCCTCACAGCATGATCCAGTATTGGGAATGAATTCTTTGAATGAAATAGATATTTACTTTTCCCCTTCTGGTCCCTGCTTTGTTTCCCAGTTGGGTTATACTATAATGCTGATTTGGTTTATCTTAACATTTATCAAGCACACATATTCTTTCACTAACCAAAGACGGTACTCTGCTTAAAAAAAAAAAAGTTAAAAAACTAACAAGTGTAAAGGTGCTAGTTCCGATGATGAATAGAATTTTGCTTTTGAAAAGAAAAGGTCTATTAAATGATTGATACCTTTTGTTTTTACATCACAATAATTTACACACACACACACACACACAGAGTCAAACAAAATCAACCAAAGCTGTGACCTAGTGTGACAAATTATGCCACACTGTGCTTTCCCACTTCTCTCCTGACAAAGGAGGTATATTTCATTATCTGTTCTCCGAGGTTAAGAAGTAGGCTTCGGTATCATTTAGCATTCTTCTCCATGTGACCCCTGCTTTTCTTTCTCCTTTGCTGGAATATCATCCTTCATTTCTCTCTGCCAACCACGGATGTATCCTGAGGCTTTGTCCTGGATTCTTTTCTCTCCAGCTCTTTCTTGGTCATCTCAGGAGCTCCCATGGGTTCATTTATCCCAATGGAATAATGCTCAAATCTATGCAGCCAGCTGTAATCTCTTCTGAATTCAAGTCACAGCCTCCCAACCTGCTGGACTCCACCTGGATGGTCTTTCAGCATGTCTAACTCAATATGCCCCAAACAAAACCCATTCTCTTCCCTCCTAAAGCACTTCTCCAAACACCCCTATTTTGGTAGACTATGCAATCATCCTTCCAGGCATGGGGACCAACCACCTTGGTCACCTTTGAGTCCCTCCCTCAACCACCCTATCAGTCACTACCTTATGTCCATTCTGCCATTATGTCTCCAGCATCTCCTCTATCCAATCTGTCATCTACTCAATTGTCAGTCAGCTTCTCAAAACACAAATCTAGCCAAATCATTATCCCTGCTCCAGAAACCGTCATTGGCTTCTTTTTACCTCTAGGATAACCATTGATTCTCAGCCTGCCACATAAAATGATGGCTTTCACACTCCATTCCAGCCAAGTTGGCCCATCAGCTGTTGCCTGCCCATGAAGTTCCTTCTTCAGTCTCCCTGCCTTTATGTGAACTGTACCTATGTGTGGTGTGCACTCTCTCCTTTCCATCTGCTTCTTAAAACCTTTTAAAGATGACTTCAATCATAAGCTCTAACACGAACCCATTCCAAACACGCCCAGCTATCAGGGATCTCCCCAGATGACCTTGCATTTATTAATCCATTTGTACTTTGTGTTTCCCACTCCACAAGACCCTCTCCTGCACCCCGAAGAGAAGATACTCCTAGAAGGCAATGACTTTTTAGGTTATGTCCCTAGCACCTAAGCACCAAGCTTGGACCTGCAGAGTCTTCGATAAATGTTTACTGCAGACCATTAGAAAAGAGAGGAGGGTGGAAGAAAGAACATGACTACTGGAGTAAAGTTCTGGAAAGGGATCAAGGGGAGAGAAAAAGGAGCTAACTTCAGCAAGGGCTCAAGACAACTTTTCCTCTGTGATGGGAACAAAGGAGAGATAGACAATTCTCAGAATTCTGAGAGGAAAATTGGAGGAGCAAGAACCTGACACATCACCCCAATATTCAAGGCCAAATAAGAGCAACCATGACATAACATTCATAGATTCTCTTTTCTGGGGCCACAGCTGGAAAGAAAAAGACCTTAGAGGTCCAATTTCTTCATTTTATGATCAAGGAAACTGAGCCTCAGGGAAGTTGGGTGACTGGCCTAGAGTCACAAAGGCATGACTTAACAGGCAGAATTTGAATCTAAGTCCTCTGACACACACCCAGTGCTTCTCACACTGTACCATGCAGCCTCTTTTGAGTAAGCCACGCTTTCAGGACAAATGCCATCAGGTTTCTCTCCAGTGTGAATAATTTTTTATGTCAAATGTTGCCATGGAACTAAAGTCCTACCCACATATTCATTATATACACAAATAAAGATACTTCTAACTTTGGAACCAGAAGAAATTGGTTAATGACTTTCATAATTTTTAAGGAGGAGCAGAGCTGAGGAGATAAAGGCCTGCCAGATGGCTATGACAGTCTTGATAAATTAGGAGAATTATGACATAGTCACTTGCCAAAGCATAGGGGATGTAGATGGGACGGGGCTGTCTTAACAAAAGAAGTGAAAGATCTGGAACAGCTGCTGAGAGACAGTAAGCAAAGGCTGATTGGCCTCATCTATAACACTTCCTTTTGCCTGGATTTTTCATAAAGGACTTAGCTCAGGCTGAAACCCTTCCCGTGTTCATTATATTCATGAGACTCCTGTCCGATATGAGTTATCTGATATTCAGTAAGTTTTGTGGTCGAGTTGATTGACTTTCCATATTCATTATACACATAAGGTTTCTCTGTCCATTAAAGAACCAATTCTTTAGAAAAAAAAGTTATTTTATTATGAATTTAAACAAGAAACATGAACTCATATATGCAAAGAATAGAATTTGAAATGGAATTTGTTATAGTTTTGTCTCTTTTTCAAGGAGTATACTAAACATGGTAATAATAAAACTGTCCTTTTGTCTGTGTCCCCTCATTATGAACCAATGTTGAGTAAGGTGTTTGCTCAGAAGAAAGGTCTTCCCTCAGTCATGACATTCATAAAGTTTCTTTCCAATATGAATTTTCTGATGTTGAGTGAGCTGTGATCTCTGGCTGAAGACCTTTCCACACTCATTGCATTCATAAGGTTTCTCACCAGTATGAATTCTCTGATGTAGAGTGAGTCCTATCCTCTGACTGAAAGCCTTTCCACATTCGCTGCATTCATAAGGTTTCTCACCAGTGTGAATTCTCTGATGTAGTGTGAGTCCTATCCTCTGTCGGAAGGCCTTTCCACATTCATTACATTTATACGGTTTCTCTCCAGTATGAATTGTCTGATGTTGAGTAAGCCCTGATCTATGACAGAAGGCCTTTCCACACTCACTGCATTTATAAGGTTTCTCCCCAGTATGAATTCTCTTATGCAGATTAAGTTGTGACCTCTGGCTAAAAGCCTTCCCACAGTCATTACAGTCATAAGGTTTCTCTCCAGAATGAATTCTCAGATGTAGATTAAGTTGTGACCTCTGGCTAAAGGCCTTTCCACAGTCATTGCAAACATAAGGTTTTTCTCCAGTATGAATTCTCAGATGTAGATTAAGTTGTGACCTCTGGCTAAAGGCCTTCCCACAGTCATTGCATTCATAAGGCTTCTCTCCAGTATGAATTCTCTGATGTAAATTAAGTTGTGACCTTTGGCTAAAGGCCTTCCCACAGTCACTGCATTCATAAGGCTTTTCTCCAGTATGAATTCTCTGATGTCTAGTAAGACTTATTCTGTATCGGAAAGTCTTCTCACACTCATTACACGCATAACGATTCTCTGTAGTATGAATTTTATTATGTTGATAATTATGTTGAGTAAGCTGTGCTCTCAGGCGGAATGCCATCCCACATTCATTACATTCATAAGGTTTCTCTCCAGTATGAATTCTCCGGTGTCTAATACGGTGTGTACTTAAGCGGAATGCCATCCCACATTCATTACATTCATAAGGTTTATCTCCCGTATGAATTCTATTATGTCGATTAAGTTCTGTTTTGTGACTGAAGGCCTTCCCACATTCACTGCATTCATAAGGCTTCTCTCCTGTATGAATTCTCTGATGTTGATTAAGCTGAGTTCTCAGGCGGAAAGCCTTCCCACATTCACTACATTCAAAAGGTTTCTGTCCTGTATGAATTCTCTCATGCTGAGTAAGCTGTGACCTCTGGCTGAAGGCCTTCTCACATTCATTGCACTCATAAGGCTTCTCACCACTATGGATTGTCAGATGTTGAGTTAGCTGTGTTCTCAGGCGGAAGGCCTTCCCACATACATTACAGTCAAATGGTTTCTCCCCAGAATGAACTGTTTGATGTTGAGTAAGCTGTGAGGTAAGGTAGAAGACTTTCTCACATTCATTACATTTAAAATGTTTCTCTCTACTAGATTTTCTATGATTTTTAATAAGTGCTAAATTATACCTAAAGGAGTTTTCACATTCATTATAATTGAAATATATTTTCTTGAAGCACATTTGATTATATTTTCTATAATCTACATAAAGTTTGTGTTTTTTCTTGGTAGAATATTTATGGGAACTCTTTCCTACTACTGTCTGTTTTGAAAAGACAACTGGCCCCAGACTGAAGTTTCGCCTATGTTGACTATATTCACAGATTCTCACTTTATTCATAGACTTGTTTACCATGACTTTAGATGGCTGAAAATGTTTTTCTTCATCGTTTTGCTGACTCTTTAACTTGGCACAATATTCCCAGACTCCTCCCAATCTGGAGATGAAAGGATCATCGCTTCTGAGTATTTCTTGGGATAATTTTTCCACAGAAATGACCAACTTTGGAGGTGACTCCTTGGCTTCAAGCAGAGTCTCCCAATCTGAAAAATATAAAGAATGTAAACATTCCCCATTCACCTATCACTTGATTCTATCCTTTATTCTCCATCAAAAACAGATTTTCTAAACCTATTTCCTCCAAAAACTGCCTTCCAACCAACCAGTGTTTTCCAAAGAATAACTCGCTCCCCAGGCTGATGGGTTTGCTTCCAGACCTGGCTTATTTCATCCACTCCACAAATTTACTTTTTAACCAGTGTCGGAATTTGTACAATTACTGTTTTACGATGTGATACTGAAAGCTCTTATAATGTTAGATCCTTTCCCTTATCTTTCTGAAAAACTATTTCCTTTGTTATACCTGATGTTCTGTTTCTATTTTAAAACTCTACTTCTTGGAACTGTGATTGAAAATAGCATCAAACTACAGATTAAAGTAATACCATTTTGACTGTGTTGGTATGGCCCACCCATGGACACTTGAATACCTCCTATCTGTCATCCTATATCTCCATGAAAATAATACGGCATTGGTAGATGGGATAGGCCAAGTCCCCCTGCCCCTCTTCTCACCTCCTTTACCACATAAGTTTCCTAGTTCTTTTCCTCAAAGCTAAGGAAGTTGTCCCCAAGACTTGAATGGCACAGGGGACTAGTCCCTTGGCTGTACTGGTGTGACTTCCTGTTCACCTAAGGGCATGAATGACCTGAGCACACGGAACAGCCTTGGCAGATCCCAAGTTAGACACAATATAGTACAAGAGGTTATCCCACACTAACAGCTATGACAGCTAACATTTATACAGCACCTACTACGTGCAGGCACTGTTCTAAGTACTTTCCAAGTATTTTCTTATCTGATCCTCACAACAATCTTGGAAGGTAGGTGATTATCGTTCTCATTTTACAGATGAGGAAACGAGGCAGGAAAAGTGACTTACTAGGGTCACACAGCTAGTAAATGTCTGAGGCCAGATTTGAATTCAGGTCTTACTGACTCCAGGCACAGCACTCTATCCACTATGCCAGCTAGCTGTCTCAGTCTCTGGATAGTAGCTATTCTATATAAAAAGAAATGTACCATAGATGGAAGCAAAGTACGTAACACTGGCTGAACAGAGTATCCACAGAGAGGATACGCTTTTACACTGCTATTGTGATAAAGTCATCTCCATTAGTTTTTAGACGGATGTTCCAACTCTCACTCAGTTATCTATCATATCACCTACAAAATACTCCTACCTCCTTTTTATCAATACTCAGTCCCTTCATTTGTTTTTCATCTTTCTGCTATAGACAACTTTTCCAGTACTAAGTCAAACAAAAGCAATAGGAAAGAGGGTCACCAGTAAAGCCAGAGCCAGGGCAAATAAGCCAGTATCCCAGTAAGACCAGAGACTGGCCAGATGTATGGACTGTGCCCAGAAACAGTAAGAGAGGAGGGCTTCCTCAGAGAGTTCCAAGGGGGTCAGAAACCCACAGCTGGTACTTTAGAAGACACCAGGAATGGCATCAACCAATGTCTGCACAGCAGCACTCATACCAAGATAGCTTAGAGGTGCCTGGCACTCTGTCCTGAGATACCATAGAGGAGCCTGAACCTCAAAGATCTACGGAGGCTTAATTCTGAAGATGGAAGTCAGTGCAGGAAAGCGCAGGCTAGATCCAGCAGGGGAGAGACAACACATAACGAGTGATCCCATCCAAAAGCCCAGTTCAGGAACTAAAACTGGAAAGATGAGTAAACGAAAGAAATCGCCAGTATAAAAAAGTACTCTATATCCAGATATATCCAATGATCCAGCCTAGGACCCAATAACAATATAACTGTAAAGATTTAAAGGAAACAAATGGATTTTCTTTTTTTTTTATTAATTTATTTATTTTGCTCTTTGCTGAGGCAATCGGGGTTAAGTGACTTGCCCAGGGTCACACAGCTAGGAAGAGTCAAGTGTCTGAGGCCGGATTTGAACTCAGCTCCTCCTGACTCCAAGGCCAGTGCTCTATCCACTGTGCCACCCAGCTGCCCCAAACAAATGGATTTTCACAAGGATTATAGGAATACTTCCCTAGGAAAAATGTATCAAGAGATTAAAAAATGAAACAAAAGTTCTGGTGGTAAGAACTAGAAGGAAAATAAGTAGCTTAGAAAATGGTAAACCTTACCCACAAAATGAGGCTTCCTCTGAAAACTAAAACAGACCAAATAGAAATCAATGACTCAATAAGATCACAAGAAATATTCAAAGAAAATAAAAATATTGAAAACACAGAAGGAAATGTGAGATATTTGATGTAAAACTAAGGAGAGAGAATTTAAGAAGGACTAGATTCCCTGAAAACCATAATATTTTTGGACACTATTTCAACAAAGCAAAAATGAAAATCACTCAAAGAAACCCCAAAAAGAAAGGTCCAAAGCACGGCCACCAATATGCAGCACTACCGTATCATACTGCCATCATCCAGAAAGAAGCCGTTCAAGTCCCAGCAACCACAGCCTGGACCATACAAGACCCAGAAGCTTCTAATCTGACTGATGAGATGCTGTGATACAATATTCCAAAGGAGAAGACTGAGGCTACTTCACTCAGGTAAGACTAACTTAGCCTACGAGGGTGAATGGCAAAAAGGGGACCCCAAGAGAACAGGCAAGGAGGCAGACTTTCCAGAATCCCTGAGCACCTGGAAAGAGTTCCATGCGACATAGTGCTAATATCTGAACTGGGGAAAAACAAGTATGCCTTCAGAGGCTTGGTGTCTTTGAAGCAAAGACCCTTGACAACTGTATCGTGGCTGGATTTTGCAGTCTGCTGAAGCCCATGGATCCCTTCTTAGAAGAAATGATTTATTGCCTACATTTGTAATTGAAGTAAATGCCAAATTTTAGTTAGAGGATAGTGAAAATGAAGATATTTTTACCATTCAAGTTCAGAGACCCCCTGAAATCGATCCCAAAGGGGTCTATATCCCTATATCCCTTTATCCCTATATCCCTTTTTTTAACTAGATCCCAAGTTAAGAACCCTTGGTTTAAAGGGCACAGAAGGAATTAACTAAGAAAAAGGGGAATAGAGATAGACTGATTCTGATCTGAGGGTTTTAAGATGGAAATAAGAAGGTGAAAGCAATATCCTAATGTAGAAAGGATGAAGAAGGGGATGGAAATGGCTAATTCTCATTCTTGAGATGTGCAAGGAGAGAACACAAACATGAGAGGATATGGGGGAGGAGTATTATTCAGACGTGCCCTGTCTACACCAAAGGATAAATAGGCTGAACACACAGAGAGCTTGGTATAGAAACAAATTAAACTCCAAATCACTAATTATTAGAGAAATTAAAGTAAATCTGAGGTTCTACCTCATACTCATCAGATTGACAAAAATGACAAAAAAAAAACCAAAAAACAAAACCAACCCAAACACATTGGAGGGGCTGTGGAAGGACTGTCACATTAATGCACTGCTGGTGGAGACGTGAACCAGTCTGGCCATTTGGGAAATGCCCACAAAATAATTAAGCTCTCTGACCCAGAAATACCATTACCAGGCCCAGATAACCAAAAAGATCACACCAAGAGGAAAATACCCTATCTGTACAAAATTATTTATAGTTGTCCTTTTTTTTGAAGCAGAGAAATGGAAATTAAAGGGGTGCCTGTGCCATTCCGGAATGGCTAAATAAACATGCTCCATACACATACATGAATATTATTCTTTCATGAGAAACAACAGAATAGACCATGTCATTGAAATGGAAGAATACCTGTAATGAAATGGTACAAAACAAAGGCAGTCGAACCAGGAAAACAATTTATATAGAGGAAACAACATTGCAAAGGAAAGCCCTGAAAGACTGAAGGGCTTTGATCAAAGCGGTGACCAGTTGAGTCTCCAAGGAGGACTGATGATCAGGCACGGTACCCACCTTCTCAACAGAGGACACACATGCACAAGGCTGTCAGATACGTACACTACACAGGCTTGTTTTGCTTCACTATACTTACAGTAAAAAAATCTCTATCCTAAGCATTTCAACTAGAATTTAACATTTAAAATCTATTTTCCAAAAAATCAACCATATAAAAAGTCATATAGGAAAAGCAGTTCTCTTGGAAAAAAAATTATCAGTAACCCCACGAATATTTGTTCAAATGCTAATGATCGGAGGACTTCACATGATTATGATGAAGAGTCAGAAGAAGAAGGTTCAAGGGCCCCTCTGCCACTGCCTATCCCAGTCACCTGGTCACTGCCTCTCTGGTCCCCGGGCTCCCTTGCAGTTTGGAATCTGCCCAACAGCCATGCACCTATTAAGAGATTTTGTATATTTGTGCAACAACTATCACCATGTAAATGGAAACAAACCAAAAAACCTGCTCTCTGTGTGTTCAGCCTATCTATCCTTTGGTGTAGACAGGGCAAGTCTGACAGAGGCTACAGTGCCAGGCAGTTCCGCCTTTCCTTCTCAGTCCTGGGAATTCTGAGGCAGTGTCCTGTCCTATGACCTGTGAGGATGCTCCCTGTGAACGGCAGAGCTGAGTCTCACCTGAAGAGCCGCTTCTCCGGCCTCCTCCCCCCGGCTTCCACGGTGCTCCCCCTCGCTCCAGCTGATAAATCACAGACGGTTTGTAAACCACCAGCCCTGCTCATCAGGAACAGGAAAGTTAGGAACAGAAGCTACCTCAAAACCAAATCCCTGCCCCTGCTCCTTTTAGGGAAGTTGGGCGTGCTCAGAGGGGCCAGATAGGAATACACACAAACTCAGAAGGATGCTCTAAAAAGCAAGGGTACACAAACCAAGAAAAGTCTCACCGATCAATTTCTTAAGAGGAAGGCAGTCTTTTGTCTTTAGGCATCTGGCTCTGGGGCTTTAGGGGAGCATCTAAGGCCTAAGGAAAGGCCATGCGGAGGGTCAACACCTCCAGGGATAATACAACCAAGCTGCCAGCTTCCCTGGTGCATTAAGCAAAACTTGCAACTTGTGAACAGGGGCTTTTTACTTGTAAAAGAATACTGTCAGTTGGCCACAAAAGAATGAGCCATCTCTGACCTATTCAGGCCAAATGACAGTTGCTCAACACTGAAGATGCCCCTATTATATTTACTCAGGGAAGAACTAAAGACCCTCCCCTGGGTGAGCCCCAAGTCCCGGGGGAGCTTCCTCACCCAGGCACACCAGGTTCCTGAAGTTCTCCAGCATCACCTCCCGGTACAGCTCCTTCTGAGAAGGTTCTAGGTGCCCCCACTCCTCCGGGGTGAAGACCACGGCCACATCCTGGAAGGTCACTGACCCCTGAAACACCAGACAGGAATGCTTATCCAGGGACTCTGCCTTGTACAGACTTATAGATCTGAGGGAAGAATGGAAACTCCAAAACATGAGTTCTTAACCCTTTTTGTCAAGGGCCCCACTCTGGTGTCTACTGAAATCTACAAACTTGTTCTCAGAATCATGTTTTTAAATGCATAAAATAACTACACAGCATTAGGAAGGAAACCCAACCAAAAGTTGGTGAAAACAAAGCACTCTGTAAAGGCTTCCCACAGTCTGAGCAGTCACAGGATGCTGTGGTGGTGGGGAGCTGGACTCAGTCAGGAAGACCATTAAGGTCCCACCTTGGACACACCCTAGCTCTGAGCAGGGGATGCTCCACCTTCAAGGAAAGCTCCCACTCCCAAGGCAATCACAGCACTGCTATTAAAAAACCACACACACACACACACACACACACACACACACACACACACACACACACACACACACACACACACACACACAATTCTGCAGTGCATGCAGTCAGAAGAGCCCCATGACTGCCCCCAGGCATGACTAAAGGGAGTGGGGGGGGAGTTAACCCAGGACTAGGAGGTGTCAAAGCTGGAACAGCCACAGAGAGAAGGTCTTTAAAAGGTTCAGGATGCAGCATATTCTGAAGTCAAATATTCACTAGTAAATATGACTCTGGGGCATCTAGGTGATAGGTGCAGTGGATAGAGCATTGGGCCTGGAGTCAGGAAGACTCATCTTCCTAAATTCAAATCTGGCCTCAGACACTTACTAGCTGTGTAATCCTGAGCAAGTCAATTAACCCTGTCTGCCTCAGTTCCTCATCTATAAAATGAGCTGGAGAAGGAAATGGCAAACCACTCCAGCATTTCTTCCAAGAAAACTCTAAATGGGGCCATGAAGAGTCAGACACGACTGAACAGCACCACCTATGACTCAGTTTATACTAGATTCTGAAACATGCAATGAAATAATCATTCTATTTAAATGTTTAGTGCTTAACTCTTTTTTCTTCATTTTTACATTTAATTTTTTTATTTTTTCAATTACATGTAAAAAATTTTAACATTCATTTTTTAAAATTCCCAGTTCCAGATTCTCTCCATCCTTACCTGCCCTCCTCCCTCCTTAAGAAGGCAATTTGATATAGATTACACATGTGCAGTCACGCAAAACATTTCCATGTTAGCCATGCTGCGAAAGAAAACAGACTGAAAAAGCAAGACTGAAGAAAGTTTAAAAAAGGATGTTTCGATCTGCATCCATATGCCATTAGTTCTTTCTGGTGGGTTTTTTTTTTAAATAGCATTTTTCATCTAAATCCTTTGGAACTGTCTTGAACCATTGTACAGATCAGAACAGCTAAGTAATTCACAGTTGATCATCACACAAGCTTTCTTTTACTGTGCACAATGTTCTCCTAGTTCTGCTCCTTTCATTTTGCATCAGCTCGTGTAAAGCTTACCAAGATTCTCTGAAACCATCCTACCTGTCATTTCTTATGGCACAATAGTATCCCATCATAATCATATCCCACAACTTGTTCTTCTATTCCCCAACTAAAGGTCTCCCTCAATTTCCAATTCTTTGCCACCACAAAAAAGCTGCTATATTTTTGTACATATATGTTCTTTACCTTTTTCTTTGACCTCTTTGGGATACAGACCTAGTACAGTGCTTTGAGGGGTCAAAGAGTATACACAGCTTTATAGACCTTCGGGCAGTTACAAATTTTTCTCCAGAATGGCCGGATCAGTTCCCAACACCAACTTTCCCCCCCACCATTAATGTCCCAATTTTTCTACATCTCCAACATTTGTCATTTTCCCTGTCATATTAGCCAACCTGATAGGTGTAAGGTAGTACCTCAGAGTTGCTTTAATTTGATTTGCTTTAATGAATGGGAATTTAGAGCATTTTTTCATATGACTATAGATGGCTTTGATTTCTTCTTCCGAAAATTGCCTGTTCATATCTTTTGACCACTTATCAACTGGGGAATGACTCATATCCTTATAAATTTGACTCAGTTCTCTATATATTTGAGAAATGAGGCCTTTATCAGAGACACTGACTGTAAAAAACTGTTCCCAGCTCCTTCTTCTCCTGGCTGCACTGGTTTTGTTTTTGTAAAACCTTTTAATTTGATGTAACCAAAATTATCCATTTTACATCTCATGATGTTATCTCCTGTTTGGTCATAAATTCTTCCCTTATCCATAAATCTGACAGATAAAATATTCCATGCTCCCATAATTTGCTTATGGTGTCACCCTTTATTTCAAAATTACGTATCCACTTTGACCTTATCTCTGTAGATAGAGTAAAATGTTGGTCTACACCTAGTTTCTGCCAAACAGCTTTCTAGTTTTCCCAGAAATTTTTGTCAAATAGTGATTTTTTGTCCCCAAAGCATGGATCTTTGGGTTTGTCAAACACTAGATTACTATGGTCATTTACAACTGTGTATCGTGTACCTCATTCCACTGATCCGCCACTCTATTTCTTAGCCAGTACCAACCAGACTGTTCTGAGGATTAGCGTTTTGTACTACAGTTTGAGGTCTGGCTCAGCTAAGCCATTTTCCTTCACATTTTTTTTCATCGATTTCTTTGATATTCTTGACCATTCTTTCTTCCAGATGACTGTTTTTATTATTTTATCTAGCCTTATAAAATAATGTCTTTGCTAATTTGATTGGTATGGTACTGAATTAATTCTCAACAACTCTGTGAGGTAAACAGCAGAAGTAAACACTCTGCCCATTTTAAAAACGGGGAAAAAATATAATAAATGGAAGGGAATGGATCACAACAGAGGGCCCTACAGCTAAAGCCGACATTGCATGCTGTGCTCGTCTGTATCACCATGACCAAAGGACTCACATCCTGGGGGCGGGGATGAGGGATGGACTCAGAGGGCAGAATGAGCCATTTTTTTTGACATGGCTAGTACAGGGATTTTTTTTTTTTGGTACCAAATTATACATATATGTTGTAAGGGTTTTATTTTTCTTCCTTTTTTTTTTCAGGGAAGGGAGGGGTGAAGTGGGTAGGGGAAAATATTTTTGTTAATAGGAAAAAATAAAAAAAAAAAGAAAGAAATCAAAGACACGTGTACCTCACCCTCAGAAGAACTAAGTCACAAATTTCTATCGTCATTTATTGAAAATCATCCATGTTTTCCATGTCTTATTAATGTACAATTAAGTATTAATTTACAATGAGAGAAACAGAGCAGTACCACTGCACTAAATGAAACACTCCCAGCCCCTTCTGCCGTTTCTCGAGAACTGCACAGTCTCAGACTCATTCAGCATCTCTCCTGGAGTGGCCTCCATGGAAGGTCCACCTTGACTCACACAGGTTTACCCTTGGCACATAGATTCTGGATGCTAGTCCGTAAAGAGGGTTTCCTCCAACATCACCTTTTACTGGGAACTATTAGGCCCGTCCATTTCTGACCTGATGGCTGACATAATTCTAGTGTTTTTGTCTTCACCTGAGTCTTACAAACACGTAAGGTGTAATTACCTAGTTTTCACAGAACAGAAATCGGACGCTCGGCATGTGGGGCCTGAGCCTGAACGCGGCTGATTCCTTCCACGTGAACAACACAAGTCTCATTGATTACATTTACCGTGCGGAGGAAGCTGCTTCTGATTCCCCTCCCAGCTGGACAACCCTCGGCACGGTTTCCAGTCTTCTCTTGACTTCCTGTCCACCTGTTAGACAGCTTCACCTAAATAAGCACAGACCAGAGGCTGCCCCCTCCACCTTCTCTCCTCATACCCATCTGGATGACTCAACCAACCCCCAAAGAAGACGGGGTTCAGGGAAATATGAGAAGCCTCAGCAAGCTCCTACAGGCTCTTCCTTCTCTGAACACAGTCAGCACCTAATGCCTTTGAGACTCGCTAGGGAGCTTCAACAACAGAGGTGGCACGATGTCAGCCCCTGCCTGCCCCTCTGGGGGTCACTCCTCAGTCTGCAGTAGAAAGAGACAGTGGGCACAGTGACAAGCTTCTCTCTGGTTGGACACGGCATCCTGCTTCCAATAGTTCCTCCTTCCCTAAGGTCTACCCTGTGCCCTCATCAGGCAGGGGGCCGCAGGGCCCGTGAAGTCACTGCAGCCGGTCACCCCCAAAACCCTCACACAGAAGCAGTGCTGGCAAAGCAGACCCTCCGTGGGCCACCACTCCCTGCCACCCCTCGGCAGCTGGCCCTGGGGAACGCCAGCTTCTCACCACACGCCCAGGAGGCACGGGGGACTCAAAGTCCCCAGGACAGGGCTCTTCACTCCGGGAGTTTCTTGGCTCCAGCCTTCAGGAGGATTTGCTTCCTCAGCTAACCTGCTTCTGGACAGAGTGCCAGCTGACTGTCTCCAGCCCTCCCTTAAGTCCATCCAGGCCTCAAGACACCCTCGGCTCAAAAGAAAAAAAAAGCTCTTTAGAAAAGGGGAAATGGAAATGGTTCAGACAGCTCCTTCCCAGAAAGGTTTGGGGACCAGCTGGTAGAATGATAGAGAGCTCTGCTTTTTAATGATGTATGTGGGAAAGGTAGAACTTTATTTATTTATTTATTTTGGCAAGGCAATTGGGGTTAAGGGACTTGCCCAGAGTCACACAGCTAGTGAGTGTTAAGTGTCTGAGGCCAGATTTGAACTCAGGCCCTCCTGACTCCAAGGCAGCTGCTCTGTGCACTGTGCTACCTCCCTGCCCCCGGAAAGGTAGAACGTTATAATCGTGGTGAGAAGAGTTCACCTAGAAAACAAAGGGGATCCTTTGGCTGGCGTGGTGGGAATCTTGGGGGTCTCCCCCTGGCCTCAGGCCTGAAGGGGTCTCTTCCTGCAACTCCTGGTTCTGCTTCTAGACCAAGCCTCACACACAGCTACCATGTTCCCGAGTCTTCTCCAGGCTAAACGAGTCCAGCTCCACGAATCTACAAGCATTTATTAACTACTTACTAGTTCAGGCTGGGCAGCTAGGGGGGCATCAGAGTGCCCACAGCATCAGGCCTGGAGTCAGGAAGACTCATCCCACCTGAGTTCAAATCCAGCCTCAGACACTTCCTATCTGGGTGGCCCTGGGCCACCCAGAAGTCACTTAACTTCTGACTGCCTAACAAAATGGATCCACCAGAGAAGGAAATGGCAAAGCACTAAAGTATTGCTGACAAGAAAGCCCCAAATGGGGTCACGAAGGATAGGACGTGACTGAACAACAAAAGAGAGGGGAATCATTCAAGTATTTCGGAGGGAAAGGCAGTCAGAAGCAGAATTTAGGAAGGAAAAATTTGGCAAAATGTGGGAGAAAATTTTTTTAAACTGAAGGAGAACAATTCTATACTCCAGGTTCTACTTTTTGGCTGGAAAAGAAACAAGATCGAGAAAAGTTAAGGAAGATATAAAGAGCATTAAGAGGTATTAAAGAGGACACCGGAGGACTAGGGACTGAGAGAGGTCCAATGGAGTAGGTCCAAGAACAAGTAGGAAGTGGGTGGCAGAAGATGTAGATGGGTTTACAACCTAGGTGCCATCCTCCCTCCGCCCTCTCATCCCTCATCCCAATCAGCTGCCACGGCTATCATTTACCTTTGAAATGAATGGATGAAGCATTTATGAAGCTCCTATTATGGGCAAAGCTCGGTGCTAAGTGCTAGGGATAAAAACACACACAAACACCTCTCCCACCTGGCCCTCCTCTCCTCTGACAGTGCCACCCCGCCCCCAGACCCTCAGCACCTCACACCTACGCTGGCTGGCGATAGCTGCTGAGGGGTCAGCTTGCCTCAAGGCTGCTCCATTCACACACCAAAGTGATTTTTCTAAAGCGAGATCGGATCATCTTACACACCCCTCCCCCCCCAATAACTCCATTGGCTCCCGGATCAAATACAAAAAAGCCTGTGGCTTTGAAAAAACCCTTTATAATCTGGCCCTTTCCACTTTCCAAGTCTTGCTTCACCTCCCTCGTTCTCTACTGTTTGCCCTTCCTTTCAAAGAAGACCAATGACATCACAGGGTGATGGCGTGCCCCATGCACGCACTGGGTGTAAGGAAGGCAGAGCTGCACAAAGCCCTAGGGCATTCTCTCTTCCGAGTCACTGAAGCCCAGTGGCAGGACAACAGACAGGAGGACCGGCGATGGCCCAGGCTGCAGCGGATGGCCTTGGCCTCTCCATGTCTGACCAAGCTCCAAGCGCTCCCCAGAGCCTGCGTCAGCTGCCTTCATAGTCGGTGGAACTGTTCTCATCCACCCATTCCACCAGCGGAAGTCTCCACATGCTTGGGGCAGATGTCCCCTAACTCACCAAAGGGCCAGAAGGTTTATCCTGTTTAACCTGGTTTAACCTGTCCCCTGAGACAGTCTACCCGGGTGTGGCCGCTGCAGATGCTACAGCTTTGTGGAAGCACGAGTCAGAGTTGGGTGAAGGCGGACGAGCGGCCTGGAAAAGGGGCTCGGCAGCCCCCCACCAGAGGCGCTCTCCTCCCCAAAGGCTCCACGCCATGCATGTTCGCATGCTGTCTCTCCTGTTAGCCCACGAACCCGTTGAGAGCAGGGATTCCTTGCTTTCTGCCTTTCTTTGTGGCCCCAATACTTAGCATGTACCTGGTACAGAGGAGGTGCTTAATAAATGCTTGCTGACTGATCCACAAAATGACAAGTTCTCTCCTTCCCAAAATATGTTGTATTTAATTACTTTGCATATGTTGATAAGAACACTTTATATTTATGCTTCACGTGTTTATATATGCACACGGGAGCACAGACTTTTCATTCTTTGTACTTGTATCCCCTGTGCCAGACACATCGTAGGTGATTAAGAAATGCTTGTGGATTAAGAGAAGCAAGCAGGGAATGAAATGGCATCATGTTTAATGAATTTGTACCAATCTAAAACACATGCACTTAATATTAAAGCGGCCAAATTCTTAGAAGAAAATCAAAGTGGAATTTTCACATAAGGTAGACAGGGCTCTAGAGCCCTATAAGGATCATCAATCAGAACTTCAAATTCAACAGTAGGGTAAACAACCTTAAATAAAAACTAGATTTAGTAAATCTAGGGAGACTTCTAAATGGAAACTTTAGCCAATGCATGTATTTCTCAGGCTCTCATGGGACTCGCACACACGCACGCACACACAAGATCAAGTATTAGAACTTAATACCAACAAAAAAAGGGAGAAAGTTAAAACAAATTAGACTATAACATAATAAAGTTGTCATCAATAAAGAAAAACATGGAAAGAGGCAAAGCTGGAGACTAAAGACTCTATGCACCTAACAACGACTGGATCAAGACCAAACCCAGAAAGAGCAGTGACCTTAGTAAGAGCACAGCGGACAACAGAGAGCTCACCTGGCCGCGGCTGGCTGCCACAAGTACAGGGGTCATTCTTCCTCTTCAACGTTCCTTCTCTCAAAGGAGAGAGTTGTCTGAGGCGGGGCTGGGGAGCAGAAGGCACCAGGAGGGGGTTACCAAGCTCCGCTGCTAACAGTCAACAAGGAGGCGGGCAGCCCCCTGAACTGGACCCAAGCCTCCTCCCCTCGAGCCGGACACTAGCAAACCTGCTCTGGGCATCAGGGTAGGCGGCTGGCCGTCCAGTGCCCACCCCGCAGCGCTGAGGGCTGAGATCGGGGCTCTGCGGGCGACACTGCCCCGGCAGGCAAGGGGGAGCTCCCCTTCTTTCCAGGGGAGCAGGGCAATGGACTTGGGGGCTCCGTGATCCTTCCTCTAGATGAGCCCGGAGACGCCCGGGGCTGCCAGGCAGCACAGGGGCCGCCGGTCACCAGGAGCAGCGGCCGCTGCCCCCGGGCCGGCTCTTCTCTTGTCCTCCCTTAGGGTTCCCCCTCCTCGCAGTCTACACCGCCTTCCTCAAGCACCTCTGCACGGAGCCCTCCCTGATTCTCACATGCACTTCGGCCACCCTTCCTGAGCACAAGCCCCCCCCCCGGGGGGGGTCGGACGGCAGCTCGCGGGTGACCCCTCCCTGCCGCACCCCACCCCCACTTTAAAGCCCAGGAGAGTTAGTGACTCCTTGTGCGACCCCAGGGCCTCCCTGGGCTCCGGCCCCACCCCCCATGACCCCGGCCACCCGCCGGGACCCCGCTCCCACCTCCCGTTTGGGGGGGTCCGAGGGGAATCCGAGGCCCCCCGCTGCGCACCCAAAGCCCTGCCCTCGGGGGGGCACGGAGGGGGGCAGGGTCCAGGGTCAGAAACGGAGGGCTTCAAGGTCAGAGTCTGCTCCGCCCCCCTTTTACAAAAAAGGAAACTGAGGCCGGAGCCGGCGCTGGCCAGGGCCCGCGAGGTGCTGCCCTGGGGATTAGGGGGGTCGGCCGAGGACGCAGGGCCGCTCCCTCCTCTCCTACCTCTCGGGGCTCCGCCCCCGGCTGCGACCTTCAGAGACTCCCGGCCACGCCCAGGCTCTGGCTGGGGAAGCAGGAGCCCGCGGGCACGGGAGCAAAGCGGAGGTGACGTCACGCTGCCCCCCCTTCTGGCGAACAAGGCCTTTCTGAAGAGCAAAGCCTTCTGGGAAACGTAGTCCAGATTCCTGCGGGGCTCCGTGCGCATGCGCGGATCCCGCCACCCTGCGCAGGCGCTTTCTGACAGTAAACAGAGACTTAGAAACCTGGATCCTTTGCCGCACCGTTTCCACAGTAACGAGTGGAGTCTCGCTTGTAATAAATGGAAGAACACTGGGCAACGTAGTGCAGAGGTCAGGCCAAGTTTGTTACACTCAAATTCCTGGAAAGGCTGCCTGGATTAGGTTCAGTGAGGTGCTGCTGTCCAGCAGAGCCCAGCCCCTACTGCACGTCCCAGCACTCCTGCTCCTGAGGCCCATCCCACGTGAGCCTTGCTTCAAGGAGTCCTTCTTACGCCTTTGAGTTGTTCACATTGTCGTGTGTTTACTCTGTATCTGGCATTTGTGTCCGTGAAAACGTTCTTCTTCCCTAGCTGAGCATAAGCCCCCTGAGGGTAAGGCCGGTCAGTGCTTTTCCTGGTGTCTCCTACCTCTATCGGTACTTGTTACACACTAGACGTTAACAAATGTTTGTTGATTGCCGGATGGCCTGGTCCCTATCTCGGGGACAGCCTCTGCAGATGACCCAAAGTCCCACGGGACTTCTCTTCGTAAAGTGTACGCTTTACGTCCCTCGATCCGAGCGTTACTTGTGTTTGGATATAATTGTCTCTGATGGCCTAGGGAGACAATGAAACGTAACTGATAAAGTGCCACACCAAGAGTCAAGAAGACCTGGGTTTGAATTTTACCTCATGTTCTTACTATTCATGTCAATAAGGGTGACCTCAGTTTCCTTATCTGTATGCAACCTATGTCCCAGCCGGCTAGACTAGGCCAATAACAATGACTTGGTAAAATCTTGGGAAGACCCCTTCAATGTTTTTCTCTGACTCCCATTTGCCCTTGCCAGTTCCCCTTGGGAAAATCCGAATACAGTATACAGCCAGTTTTTGTATGCCACATAAAAAGGTGCAAAAAGGGCTGAAGCTCATATAAAAGCACTGAAGGCAAACTGCACGTATTATGAAACTTTGTTCGCCCAAACAGAAAACTCTGAAAACGTATCTATTAGACACTGGTTTGGGGCCTTACAAATTTGTTAATTCCCAGTGTCTCTTAGATATCACACTTATATCAATGAGAGTTGATGCAGATATTTCATCATGACTTTTCTTATTCTAGCTTCAGCTTTTTTCATTGACAAGTTTTAAAATTTTGTGTAATAAAATTATTTTGTTTTTAACGATCACCTATAGATTCCTTGTTTGGCTAAGATTCTTCCCCCTATCCAAAGTTGTCCAAGATACAACCTATCCGGTTTTTCTAACTTATTTTTTAAAAAATCTTTTATATACAGGTTTCAAATCATTTGAAACTATTGTTGTATGTGTGGTATATGTTGTATATGTGGTATAAATGCTGGTCTAAATTTGATTTCAACAAAACCAGTTCCAGAGAGATAAGTTCCTGAGTTTACTTCTGAGGAGTGGAGGTCAAATAGAAAGCATCTGTAAAATTAACCCAAATCTCCCCAGCAAAGTAAGACTCGAGGTCAGGTGCAACTGGTATATGAGATTTCTGGGAAGGAGATGGCTGTGGGCTTTAGGAGGAAAAAGTTTGAAATAACCAACATGGTAAAGCAGGCATGGATTTGCTTCATCTACAGGATTTCCCTTTGGTTTCAATTCTCTCTCAACAAAAGATTGCAATGCTGGCTGAAATCATTCTTATGTTCATTATCTTCATAAGGCCTCATTCCAGCATAAAATATAGGAAATGTATTAGATACCCTGGCTAACTGGCTTTCCACCTACCTCATGTATCCCAGCCTAAAATGATGCAGTGTAAAGTATTTATGGTGGAGGAAAGTCTTTCCACAATCATTCTTAAATTCACAGTTTCTTCCTACTACGAGTTCTCTGATGGTGAGTAAGCTGTATTTTCAGCCAAAAGGCATTTCGACAATCATTACATTCATAAGGGGTCTCTCCAGTGTGGATTCTTTTATGTCCGGTAAGGTATGAGCTCAAGCGGAAGGCATTCCCACATTCATTACACTCATAAGGTCTCTCTCCAGTATGGATTCTCTGATGCCTCTTAAGTTCTCAGCTGTGACCAAAGGCCTTGGCACATTCATTACATTCAAAAGGTTTCTCACCAGTATGAATTCTATGATGTTGAGTAAGCTATGTTCTCTGGCGGAAGGCCTTCCCACACTCATCGCATTCATAAGGTTTTTCACCACTAGGAGTTGTCTGATGTTGATTCAGTCCAGTCTTCTGGTGGAAAGCTTTTCCACATTCATGACATTCATAAGGTTTCTCACCAGTATGAATTGTTTGATGTTCAGTAAGAGCGGTCCTCTGTCGAACGGCCTTTCCACATTCCTTGCATTCGTAAGGTTTCTCTCCTGTATGAATTATCAGATGTTGAGTAAGTCTTGATCTTTGACTGAAGGCTTTTCCACACTCATTACATTCATAAGGTTTTTCACCAGCATGAATTCTCTGATGAACAGTAAGTCCTCTCTTCCAGCAGAAGGCCTTCCCACATTCATTACATTCATAAGGTTTCTCACTACCATGGGTTCTCTGCTGTACAGTAAGTCCTCTCCTCCAGCGGAAGGCCTTCCCATATTCATTACATTTATAATGTTTCTCTCCACTATGAATTGTCTGATGTAGGTTAAGTTCCTTCCTATACTGGAAGGCCTTTTTACACATACCACATTTATAATATCTTTCTCCAGTATGAATTATCTGATGTTGAGGAAGTCCTGATCTCTGACTGAAGCCCTTCTCACATACATTACATTCATAAGATTTTTCTCCAGTATGAATTTTCTGATGCTGAGCAAGTCTTGACCTCTGACTAAAGCCCTTCCCACACACATTGCATTCATAAGAATTTTCTCCATTATGAATCATCTGATGTTGAGTAAGTTGTGTTCTCAGGTGGAAGATGTCCCCACATACATTACATTTATAAGGTTTTTCTCCAGTATGAGTTGTGGATGCTGAGTAAGTCCTGATGTCTGACTGAAGCCCTTCCCACACATAGGGCACTCATAAGGTTTCTCTCCAGTATGAATTCTCTGATGTTGAATAAGTATTGATCTGAACCTGAAAGTTTTCCCACAATCATTACATGCATGTTTCTCTCTAGCACATACTCTACGATCTTTAAGCAAGGTTGAATTACACCTAAAGAATTGTCCATATTCACTGTACTTAGAAATTATCTTTGTGGAGCATGTGCCATTACTTATCCTTAGGTCTGAATACATTCTGAAGCCCTTTTGTGTGTAACACGCTTGTCAAGACTCTTTCCTCCTCTTTCTGATTGAACAAAGACCACATTGCTGATTCCAACGTATTTATTATATTCACTGTCTCCTGGCTTACTAGAAGGTTTCCTTTACGTGACTCTCACTTGCCGAGCACATTTCTTCTCATTGCTTGGATGCCTATCTAACTGGGCATACCATTCCTGGACTACTCCCAATGTGGCAACCAAGGGACTATCTCTTGAGAGTCTTTCCTGGGATGATTCTGCCATTGAAATGCTCAATTTTTGGGAGGACTCCTTTTTTTTCACGTTCAGTTTTCCAATCTGAAAGAAATAAAAAATGTAAATATCCTCTTCTTCCCTTGATGAACACCTATTGTTCATCAATAAACAAGAAAGATTATTTTTTAAACCTTATTTCCTACTAAACCATTCTCTAGTTTTCTCAGCAATTTGCTATTTTGGGGATGACTCAACAAAGTTGTCACAAACATCCATTCCCACATCTTGCTTATTGAGTCCATTCCACTAATCTATTTTTTGTGAGGGATTGTCTGATGTTGGCTACTGCCAAGTGGAGGTTGTGGCAAGATGGGGTAGGAACAAGATATTAGGAAGTAACCGGAGCTCACGCTCCCGAGGCAGGGGCTGTGCTAGGCGGAGTTGTGGTGAACTGGGATGGGAACTGGATACGGAGAAGTAACCAGAGCTCACGCTCCTGAGGCAGTGGGCAGTGCTATGTGGAGCTGTGATAAGCTGGGGAAGGAACAGAATACAAGGAAGTAGCCAGAGCACGTACTCCTGAGGCAGGGGTCTGTGCCACGTGGGAGTGGGATGTCAGAGAACGAGCTCCCTTTGTCTAGCCCCCTCCCTAGGTACAACGCTAACCCCAGATGCCTCCTTCCTGTGTCCAAACCTGACTTCCTGGGTCACGTACTTTCCCTTTGTCTATGCACTAACCCCAGATGCCTCCTTCCTGTATCCGGTCCTAGCCTCCTGCGTCACTTCCTCTCCCTTGGTGTGCTAAACCCAGACATCCCCTTCCGGTATCTGATCCTACAATCAATGACTAGTAGGCGGGCTGAGGAGGAGGGGCTAAGTAGGTACTTAAAGAACAGTAGTGGTCGGAGCTCGCTCTCTCTTTTGCTCCTGCTCTCTTGCTCTGGCCTTCCTGCTTGGCCTTGCTGTGATGGCCTCTGAATAAAGCTTGAGTGTTGGCACCTCCTGATCGGCTCGTCTCTGTGTGTTTATCCGGGTGGGCACCGAAGACTGGTAAGTATGACCTTGGCAGCCTGCTCCTTATAGGAGGAGAGTGCATGGCGTGGCCGGCACAAGTGGCGCCCAACGTGGGGCGGAGGAAATAGGCCAGGGGCCCCGCGGATCAGCTGGTCTGGTTGCGGGAAGAGAGACAAGACCCGTAGCCAATAGGGTGAAGGAAGGAAGATGGGACAGATGTTTGTTAAGGTCCTGGATCAGGAGGTGCTAGGGAAAGAAGTATATAAAAGAGTGAAAGAAGCAGAAATCAGTAGTGAGGAAGAATCAGGGAGTGAGGCAGAAGACACTGGAAACAGGGAACGGGAGAATAAGCAAGGGAAAAGAAAGCAAGGCCGGG